ACATATATATATACACATATATACATACATATATATATATATATATATATATATACATACATATATATATGGACGTCGTTGTCGAGAAGTGGGATAAAAGAGATCTCTCAGGTAGGTTACGTTTATTATAACAGGTTCAAGGCTTCAGAGTCGTATTTATTAAATCATTCCATTATGATGGTGGGTGGACATCACATCACCTTCACACAAAATTTATGCGCTTCACTATTGTTATGTTATGGAAAAGTTTCGCAAATATTCCCTATCATTTCTCAGGTCATATGAAAGAAAGGAAATATTATTAATTTCAATTGATTCACAAAATTGGTTGGATTTTTCAAGTTCTCACGATTGTTTATGGGGGAAACTTGAAAGGATAATTATACATTCTTCAATTTATCTTCAAAGAGGATGCAAATTATTAAATATGTGAGCTGGTTTCGTATCGAATAACAAATTAGAAAAGATAATTTAGGCTAAGAAATAATGTAAAACGATTTGTTAAAGACTTTTATATTTCATACTGATTTAATTCATTTATATCACGATTTATTAAATTGATTGCCATGCAGAAATGGGAAGATTAGGAATAGATTGAAAAAATTAATGCATCTCAAATTCTATTTTAAATTCTCTTTTACGAAATTTAATCAAGGAATTTAAATAGAAAATGATTTTAATAAATGAAAGAGAATACTAACCATTCCATTGAAAAAAATATTTTATTAAGGCTTATTGACAAATATTTTATTCATAAGTTCCTTTAAATTAAATTCTGCGCATTTTCATATTATGTTGACGATATAAAACTTTCCGTTCTAAATGGAATCACAATGCGACAGCGAATTTTACTGTTTTTACATTCAACCTTCAACATTTTGCTTTATTTGTAGTTAAATTCATAATGTATCAAGCTATGATTAGAAAAATGTGACTTGTATTTTGGTTTGAAATATTAAGTAAATAATATTTTTCATATTCTAAAGTTAAAGTTATTTGTAAATATTTTAATTTTAATGTATGTTATCTAAAATAATTTACATATTAATGCACAATTCTGAATTAGCATATAGATTTATGGATGTTTAAATCAAATGGATTTATTGTAACCACATATTACACTTCACCATGTCCAATATATTATAGGCTCTTTTTTTTAATTATACCAATACAATTCACTCACGAAGTAATTTTTTTAATCAATCTAAGCCCGCAAATTTTATATATAGTTAGGATAACGGATGTAGCAACTCGTCGACTCGTGAATTTATTATTCAAAATAATAACTTTAATTATAAATTATAGAAATAAAATTATTTTGTACTTTTGCTAGCATCATTTTTTAAGAACAAAAACTATTTTTTCTTAAAAATTTAATTACGGTATGTTAAACTTTAACTTTTAAACAATATTTAATTACTACTACGTATTATATAGCAGATGAGAAAAAGCTTAAATAATGGCACAAGTAAATTATTCATAGTAAAATAACTGTGTATGTAAATTATTTTTAGTTAAGGTCTAGAACAGTCAGTCATACTTTCAAACACAAAATTCTTTACAAAAGCTAAAGACTTTTTGAAATATTTTAAAATTAAGACTTTTTATTTTCTTAAAAATGGTGAAAAAATTAGATTTTTCACTGAAAAAAGAAAGTATAGTCAAAACTAACATAATATATTTTCTGGGTTTCTAGCTGTATGAAAAAGCCAAAGAAATGATAAATTTTAACCAAAAACGCTTTGGTACTGATTTTGGTCAAATTAACAATAAAATATGGTTTTATATTGCGTTTTAAAGTAAATTAAAATATATATATATATATATANACAAACCTCTAATAGCCTAAGAGGATTAGTTTTCGGCCTAGTTTCGGGGTCCCTGAGCTTATCCTTTTTTAAAAAAATACCAATTGACATTGTTCTGAATGTATAAGAATAGTATAATCAAAAATTCCATTTTACAGTTGCGTATTTAATTTTAGAGAACATAAGGTAAATTAAAATGAATTTTAAACTTATAGAATATTGACATTCTATACTTTAGTTCCTACACAGTAGCGTATGAGCATTAAATTAATTATTTATGTTAAAAATGAATAGAATCATGATTTTGAAATATTAACATTTCACGCAGAAAAATGTTTTAGCAAAATGGCTTTACTTATATGGTAAAGATATTTCTCGTAAAAGAAACCATAATTTTTGTCATTAAACCAAAATATACGGTATTTAAACCATTCATTTGGTAACTTTACTGTTCGGTTTACCAGAACGGCTATGTTTACGGTTTCCCGATCACAGTGCTGACGTAAAATGTCCTCAATGGTAGACAGTCATTGGTTAGAATCCCCTTGCCATCGTTCTAACAGTGAGAGGTTTTAATGGTTTTCTTCTCTATGTAACACAAATGCGGGTTAGTTCCATTAAAAAAGTCTTTGTACCAATGCTTGATTTAAAAGCTCCTCTGTCTTCTGGGTGGGGTTTAAAATTACAAATCTACAGAATCGTTGAAGCAGACATCGATAGTCGTAAACTCAGAATTGGCTCGGCCTTTCAACACCAGTTATAAAATAAAATTTCTTTATGGTGTTTTTTTCATTTTTTGAATTATCTGCTTTGCGCCTTGTCAAGAAACAAGCTATTCTTTGCATTAAGCACATGACCCTGTATAAGTATCTGCAACCACATATATTAATTTACTATTACACATGGTTTTGATTTGATTGGAACGTGTTAACCCCTGTTCAAATATAGCTTAGAAAAAAAGCGAGACTGCTTTAAAAATATTGAAAAAAAATTATGGTAGGTATTTATTTATTGATACACATACATGCGCGCATATAAGAAAGTACGATCTATTATAAGTCCTTATCAAGTTTAGAACATGTTGTTGTAGTTGTAGTCGCACTAGAGCTGCACAATGGGCTATTGGCGACGGTCTGGGAAACATCCCGGAGGATGATCCGAAGACATGCCATCACAATTTTGATCCTCTGCTGAAGGGATGGCACCCCCACTTTGGTAGTCCGACGACCTGCACGCGAAATCGAGCACTTTACAGTAGAACAGTTTAACGCGGACCAATACCACGCACCCTTGGTCCCTAAGCAGACTGATCCAAGTGATCACCCTCCCGCACACTGACCGCAGCCAGTGATGCTTGACTTCGGTGATCTTCTGGGAGCCGTGCCTTAACAATCAGTCCACTGCGGGACAATTAAGAACATGTAGTACAAGTTAGAAAAGAACATTAAAAAGATATATCTATCGTAACGTTTAAGTAGCATGTTCGAATCTTACTTGTCCCAGGATATATGTTTGTACGTCTTTCTCTATCTAGTTCTAACTGCTTTTTTTGTTAGTATTTGTAATGAGCATACAATTGTGCGTATGTATGTCTAACAATAAATAAATATAAGATATATGCCTCTAGATTTGCAGTAGGATCTGAACTCGATACCCCTACTCAAATAATATGCATAGGGGAAAAAGGATATCTTCCATAGATGTAATGTAAACCGGTTCCCTAAGGCTTGGTGCATTCCCTGTGTATAAAGGAAAAAAGGGTACAACAACAGAGTT